ATATATATATATATATATATATTTATATATATATATTTAAATATTTGTTTTTTTTATAAAAAATAAATAAATTTTATATTTAGTATTTAAACGGTGTTTATAGTATGGATAATAAAATGTAAGAATTAAAAATAGTATATGGAATTAAAAATGCTCCTGATATAATTATTTGTAATTAAGTTTTTAAATTTTATAGATTCGATAGTGGTTCAAAAGATTTTTAAGAAATTCCTGTAAAAAATTTCTGTAATTCAGTTGATGCTATAAATATACATAAAAAATGATTGTAAAAAAAACATATATATTTATATTTATAAAATAAAAATGGTTTTATTCTAATAAATATTATAAATTTAAAATATATTACCATATATAAAAATAAATTATATATATGTATATATATATTTATAATAATATTTCTAACATAATATAATTATTTGATTTCTTTGTTATCTTTTATTAAATAACAATATAAAAATTAACATATATTTTTATATTATGCTTTAAAATGTTAATACATAAATAATTAAAGTTTTTTCTTTAATAAATGTTAATATATATTACTTTATAATTATTTTTTTATTTATTTATTGTATATTTGTTATTTAAAATAAAAACTTTAATCCCTTTTTTTTTTAGTGTTTTTTATAATTTATATGATTTAAAATAAAGTATAATATTTAAAAATAAACAAAAATATTATTAAAATTAATTTTTAAATTCAATTATTTTATCTACATTATTTAACACTTTCTATTAAAATATCTACTAAAAAATCAACTTCTTCGAACGTAGTAAATCTTCCCACTCCTATTCTAATTGACCCAAACGCATATTCTTCAGGGACCTTAATAGCACTCAAAACATAAGAAGGTTCATCTGAGCAAGCTGCTCCAGCACTTAGAGCGACTGAATTTTTAATTATATCCATAATAGATGAGCTTAATACATCTTTAAAAGATACATTAAGGTTACCAAAATATCTCTATTAAGGATCTCCATTTAACTTAACATCGTCTATTTTTGAAAAAATTCTTCGAAACATTCTATCATACAGTTTTTTTATATATTTATTATCGTTTTACATTTCTCTTTAAGCTGCACTACATGCCTCTCCAAGTGCAGCAACCATAGGCGGTGATAAAGTTCCACTTCTGAGCCCTTTTTCTTGACCTCCCCCATGTATAATGGGTAATAAATTTAATTTTTTCTTTTTCATATTATTTTATTAACAAATAATCCCCCTGTACCTTTTGGAGCAAATATCTTATGTCCAGTAAAGCTTAATAGATCTATATTATATTTTTTTACATCTAAGTCGATTTTACCAATAGCCTAAGCTGAATCAGTATGAAAAATAGCGTTTTTTTATTCACATAAAAGTCCTATTTTTTACAAGTCTTACAAAACTCCAATTTCGTTATTTAGACTCATCACGGAAACAACTAAAGTATATTAATTTATTTTCTGTTCAAGATTTTCTAAAGAAATTAAACCGTTTGAATCAACGTCGAGATAATCGACTTTAAAATTGTATTTTTTCTCAATATATTTACATGCTTCTAATACTGTTTTATGTTCCGTTTTTATAGTAATAATGTGATTTTTGCCTGTATTATTCTCAAAATGGTACTATGAAAGTCCTAATAAGGCAGCATTGTTGGATTCTGAAGCACCTGAATTAAATATTATTTCGTCTTATTCGGCATTTAATAAACAAGCAACTTATAGGCGTGATTTTTCAATGATTTTATCTGCGTTTATACCGTATAAATGAGTTTTAGAATGAGGATTACCGTAATCTATTGTTAAATAGGGTAACATAGCATCTAATACGCGGAAATCAATAGGAGTCGTGGCTTACATATCAAGGTATAAAGGACGTTTTTAATTTGTAAGTGTTGAAAATGAATTTTTTAAGAGCTTTATTAACATTTTATGTATGATTTTTTTTATTTTCTCTAATATTTATACTAATGAATTATTTTTTAACAAGATATTAATTTTTTTTTTTTGAATTATGAATATAATGAAAATAATATTTTATTAGTAAATTATTTATTTTAAAAATAATATATTTTTTTATTAAATATTATAGATTTTGTAAAAATATATATAAATATAATTATTATATATATATATAAATATATATATAATTAATTTTTAATAATATAATAAATAAAATAAAATTAATATTATACTTTTATAAAAAAAAATTAATTATAGATATATAATTTATTAAATAAAATAAAAAAGATATATAATGTATATATAATATAATTTAGTATTATAATGTTTTTATAAAATATTTTATTTAAATAAAATATAAAGATAATTTAAATAAAATAAAATAAAAAAAGGAAATTTATATAAATAAAAATAATTAAAAAAATTTAATAATATATTAAATTATTTTTCTATATAATTTAATAAATATATAATGAATATTGGAAAAAATAATCTTATTTTTAACGATTATGAAGTTGAAAGAAACTTATACTAATAAATAATAAGTTATTAAAAAGATGAAATTTTGAGAGGTTCAAGTTATTATTCTAATAGCAAAGAAACTTATGATCCATTTAAAATACCAGCTGATATAGAATTAGCAAAAAAACACAAAAAAGCTAAAAAAATAGGAAAAATAGAAGATTTTAGTGAAAAAAATGAAAAATGTCCATGTTGTCATATTCCAATTATTAAAAAAAAATTCAAAATATAATCCAATATAGAAGAATTTTCAATATATGGAACAGCTTTTACTTTATTTTTTTATTATACAAAATTAATGATATTATTATTAGTAGTAGTATTTTTAATAGTAGGATTAACGTAACTAAAAAATTAAATAAAAAAATATGATTATAAATCTATAAATAAATAAATATATAAATATATAAATATATAAATATATAAATATATTATTATATTTTATTTATTAAATATATATTTATATTTTATTTATAGAAATTTTATTGAAGATTATTAACATTGTTATACTAATAATTCAAATAATTATTGTAAATCATTTGTAGGAATAGTATACTCTAGAGGTAAAAAAGTAGAATGCTCATCTTATAATTCAGTTCAGAAGCCTATTTTTTTCGTTGCTTTTTTGATTTAATTTTTTTTAATAATTTTTTTTAAAATTCTTTAGGATTAAAAACATTAATTTTGTAATAAAAATAGTGTTAAGTATTCTGACTTTTCATTAATTATTTCAAATATTCCTTTAAAATACTGTGAAAACGAATTAAAAAATTTTCTAGAAGAAAATTTATTAGAGCATAAAGTCAAAATAGTAGATATGAACCGTATCTTTAAAATGCGTGAATTTATGTTCTATTCTTTAAAACAATTTTAAATTGAAAAACAATTACAAAAAAAAAATTACTATAATAAGATTTTAAAAAATACATACAAAAACAAAATGAAATTAATATTAAAATCCAAGATTTATAAAAAAAATACAAATAAAAAAATTCACCAGAAATTCTAACTTAAAAAATAATTATAATATTAGAAAGTCATAAAGATTGTGATAAAATAGTAAAATAATATTCCACATATTGGTATACTAAAAAATATTTAACTTTCTAACATAAAAATCTAATTATTTAAAGAGCAAATAATCCTTTAGATATAATTTGGTAAAATCTTGAAGTACCAGTATCTTAAATATATATATATAGAATTGTAACATTAACAATAACAGTAAAAATATATATTAATAATATATAAATATATATATATATATATATATATATAATATTATAAAATTATATTTATTTATATATATATTTACTAAGATAGTATTAACAATTATTAGTTTATTAGCTTTAAATTAAATTAGTTAATTGTAAAAAAATTTTGAAAATGCAGATTATGGTTTTGCTGCAATATATATACTATCTTTTATATGTACACTTATTGTAGTTTTCATAAATTGTCTTTTGACAATTTTAGTTACTAAATTTGCTCAATATGAACGTCATTAAACTTTCACATCTATAAATATTACTATATGTACTCGGCTTACTTTTTTATAATTTACTAATATATCATTAATGCCTTTTTTTGCTTTATTAATGACAGGTAAGTAATCTGAAGAAGAAAAACAATTTTCTTAATATACAATCTAGAATATGTTTTTTTTGTTTGTTGGAAACGCAATTTTTGTTCCTTTAACTGTTTTATATGAAATCGAGTATATATATTAAAAGCTGAGACAAATATACTATAAATAAGAACATAAATATTTAAAAAAAACGTAATAATAATTAAATAAAATATATGAAAATCCTTAATTTCTCATATAGGAATACTATGCAATTGTAAACAGGATTGTTTTAGGAGGCATTTTTTACGCTCCAATTATTAGTGTCGGCCTCCTAATTAAAAGCATAACTTTATTTTTCCTTTATTGGGCTTTTAAGTATAATTTTGTAAAGCATTCAGGTTATCCAAAAACATACTCTAATAGTCTAAATTGCGCAGTTTAAGAAATTATGTTCTTTTTCCCTTTGTCGTTTACTGCGGGATGTATGACATATGAAAAAGTATTTTTAAAATGCAAAGATTAGACGATTTTTAGTATTTTTAATATCCTAATGTTAATTTTTAGTTTTTGATTTTAATATTTTCGAATATATTTATTAAAATGTTTAAGTATACATTTCTATAAGACGAAAAAAAAAAATAAGATGTGAAATTTAGTTAAGTAAAGAATACTATGGGGATGGATTATTAAATAATTAATCCTATTACTAATGCTTTTAATATCGAATTTAATGAATAAATTGAACTTGTTAATAGTATTGAATTTTAAGTTGGGGATAATATTAGGAAATATGCAATTAGTAATGTATTATTTTAAGAAGAAAGAACAAACTTAATTATTTAAAATGAATTTGAATGTTAAGTTGTTTAAAATAAAAAACAAGGGTAAGATAATATTTCTTGATGTTTATATTTTCTTATAAAAAATATTTTTATAATAGTTTTTTATTTTTATTGTTTTATGTTTAATAAATAATTATTTATGTCTATATAAAATTTAATTTATATTTAAAATTCTAAATATTTTTAGATATATAAATAATATTGATATATATATTTTATAATAATAAAATACTTAAATATGTTAAAATTAATATATTAATTTATAAAATAAAAACCTTAAATATAATTAAAAAAATAAAAATAATATAGAAAAAAAATATATATATAAATTTATAAAAAAAAAATATATATAAAAATTTTATAATAATAAAAAAAATGGAATATCAATAACATGAAGTATAATTTTTTTATAATAAAAAACATTAAAAAAAAACCTTATATAATAATTAAAAAGATTTCATTAATAAAAAGCTCACCATTAAACACTTAAAATAGTTTTCAAAGTTACGAATATAGCCTAAAAAATTATAATTTAAGTTAAAATTTTAAAGAAAACTATTTATTATCTGAAAATAATATCCAAGAAAATTAAAAAAATATTTAAAAATGGAAAAAAATATAATATTTGTTAAAATAATAAGAATTCGAACAAACTCATGAATTTTTTTTTTTACAAAAACAAATCTAAAAAATCAAAAAACTTTAATTTTAATATTTTAATACATTAATATTATTACAAAAGCAAAAAAAAAAAAACCAGAATAATATCTTATTTATAAACGAAGAAAATCACCCTTAATTATTCTTAAATAAACACGAATTAATTAAAGAATTTTTGTATTTTTTAAGAATTTAACCTGATATATTATTAAATATAATTTAAAAAAATAAATAAACATCATCTAATATAATCAAAAACTTATGTTTTTCTCTCCAAAATGCATTTTTTATTGACCACAAAAGCTATTTATAGTCCCATTAGATGTATTTTATGAGTAAAATAATTCAAATTGAGATTAATTAGGCCTAAGATATTTCTTAGATGTTAAGAACAGATTCTTTTGCGAAAAAAATTATATAGGAATTCCTTAATTAGGAAAAGTTTTGTAAGTATATTAAAGATATTTTAAAAATGCCTTTATATGAGATTATCAAAGTACATGAAGATTTAAAAATTGATCTTTAAGAGTAAAAAATAATAATAAATTTATATTTATTTATTTTCTTGAAAAAAAAAAAAAAAAAAAGAATATATAAATAAGTAGTTGAAAAATAATTATAAATAAAAAATAAATAAAGTTTAAATTCTATATTATAAAAATAAAAATCTTTTTTTAAGAATAAATAATGTAAACTAAGAGAAATTAATACTAAAAAAATTAATAAATCTGAATATTATTATTAATTATTAAAATAATATGATTTTTCTTAAGAATACTATTCAAATACTATATCTGACAACCTTTATGATATTCTAAAAATAAATTCTTAAAGCAATTTTTTTTTGTTTATTTTTTTTAATATTTTATTTTTCAAAACAGATAAAGCTTTATTTCAACATATGGAATTGTAAAAATAACTTAGTAATATTACACATATGAAAAATTTAGAAGAAAATCAATAATAAATAAATGAAAATTAAAATATAAACATAAATTAATAAATTAATGATGATAATTAATAATATGAAAATATTTAATAATATTAATAATATATAGAAACAGAAAATGTAATAATAAATATTATTTATAAAAATAATAATAATATTATATATATGTATACATATATTATTATTTATGTTTATATATATATAAAGATAGTTAATAAAAAGCTTAATAAATTAAATAATTTAGTCAATTTAGTTTTAGAATAAATTTTTGATGGCTTAGAAAATATGCCTAAAGAAATTAGGATAATTTGTTCTTTAATTAAATATTTTGCAAAATAAAAATTCAAAGATATTAATAAATAATAAATAGACTTTACGCTAAGTTATTTTTTATTTGATAACTGGATTTTACCAATATTTTTGAGTTGTTCAAATACATATTCATATTTAGATTAATAATAGTATCAATTATTATGTAATAATATGTTTTAAATATAAAAAGTTGTCCGTAAAGTAAATAATAAAATTAATTAAAAAAACAAAAAAATGATAGGTTATGAGAATTGAAATGTTTGAAAATGATATTGTAATGGAAAAATTCAATGTTTTTATATAAGATATAAAAGATAAAGTATGTAAATATTATGAAGAATTAATAAATTTAGATGAAGATAAAATCGTAAATTCTTTAACACATTAATCAGAATTTTAAAATGATTAGTAATTATAAATGTAAAAAAATAAAAAGTTTTCATTAAAAATTTATTCAGTTTTTTTTTTTTTTTAAAAAAAAATAATTAAATTTAATTTAAAAGTAATAATTTAAGTATTTGTTTAAGTTTAGAAAATATTCAAAAATTAATCGAATTAATTATTTAATTTTAAGATTAAATCCAAAAATATCCCTAATGTATAAATTTAGCAAAGGAAATTTATTCATTAAATAATTATATGAATATATTTAATATAAGATATGATTTATCATTAAATGAAGGATTAACTTATAATAAAGATGCTATTTATACTGTATTCTTTTTCCAATAAGATTAATATTAAAAACAAACTAACATATTATAAGAAGAAGAAGACGAAGATAAAGAAACAATATAATTATTTAAATAACTTTTAATAAAAATAGAAAACATTGAAATAACATAATAATTTATTGATAATAAAAAAGATATGAAATACCTCATATATGAACTATAAAAAGTAATAAAAAAATAATATGTATATGTATATTTATATACATATATATATATATATATATATATATATATATATATATATATATTTATATTTATTATATATATATATATGTATATGTATATGTATATGTATATATATTTATAGCCATCTTCTTTTAAATATGGTGAAAATATATCTGATATTAGTCAACAATTATTCAATATTTTATATCATAAAAATGATTATGAAATAAGTAAAATTTAATAAAAAATAAAAATAGAAATTAAAAAAAATGAAAACTAAGAAAAAATATTTTAAGAAAAATCTAATAATATAAAATCAATATATTAAATAAAAAAAAAATTGTAAGAAATTAAATTACATACAGAATTTTTGTAAAAAGATTAAATGAAAAAAATCATTAAAGATTTTGCGGATTAATTACAATTAAATTTATGTATTTCTACACCTAATAATAGACATAAATAAATACTTTAATTTAAAAAAATTTACGAAGATTATGATCATACTAAAATTTGGATCGAAGATATGAATTCTTGTGTACATTAAAATGCTAATTTTGATTTTGTTTTGAATTTGACAGGTGATTCCCCATCTAAACCTTAAAATTAAAAGCATTGCAAATCCATTAATGCTTTTGTAGAAGAATTCGCTAAATTAAAAGAGGTTGAAGATCTTATTTTAAATGGAAACGATGTCTTTGGAGTAAATGGAGCTTTTAATGATGTATTAGACAAAATAGAAGATGAAGCTAAGAACTATGAGAAATTTTAATAATATAATAGTGAAGAAATGTAATAAATAATATATACAATATTGAAATAAATATACAAAAAACTACATAAAGAATTATTTCCTAAATAATAAACTTATAAAGATGCTGCTTTTTTTTTTACTTTGAAATCTCTTGATTTTATCTCTTTTGAATAACTAGAAATTAAAAAATCTTCACATACTGAATGGTTATGGAAAGTATCTTCTTAAGGTTTTTTTTGTTATATTTTTATTAATTTATTTTATATATATTTTTTTGTAAAAAGCTTTAATAAATATGGATTTAAAATATACTCCAGAACAGAAATTAAAATAACTACTTATATGTACTAAAATTGTAGCCGAAATACTAAAAATGGTTTCGATAAAAGATGAAGCGGCTTCGGCTGATGTTACTTTACCAAATTTAATTTATACTATTATTAAATCTAAACCTAAAAGATTGATTTCTAATATTAAGTATTATTAATATTATTTAATTTTTTATTTTATTTTTTTTAAAAAAAAGCTTTATAAAAGCATTTAAAAGTAACTCAATTTCTTCTTCAGAAGAGGCTTATTGCTTTATTTAAATTTAAGGTGCTATTTAGTTTATAGAAGATATAAAACCAATATAATGTAAAAAAATTACTGTAGAATAATTCTATATGTAAATATTTATTTTTTTATTTATTTATCTTCTTAATATTTTATATTTATTATTTAATTGATTTAAATATAAAAGGAATATTCTATAGTAAGAATAAAATACAGGTATGACTTTTTTGAAAAAAAGATAAAGAGAAGGTTAATTAGTTAATTTAAAAAAATTCTAAATAAACAATGAATCAACAGATACAAAAATAGATAATCAAAAATAAATTTAAAAAGAATAAAACTAACCAATTAAAGAAGAAATATAATAAGGTATTGAATAATAAGTCACATACGAAATATAATAAGAAATTAAATAATAAATATTAGAAGAATTAAATAAAGAAATAATAAGAGAATAAAACAAAAATTAAGGTTAAAATATATGAAATATTATTTACAAATAATAATAAAATTTAATGATTTATATTAATAAATATTAAAATTTTATAAATATATAAAATATTTAAATTAGAAAAATTATATATGATTGTGTTTATTAAAAAAAAAAATTAAACTGATAAATATCAAAGTGATTATATATATATATATATATATATTAATATATTTATTTAAATTATTTTATATATTTTAGTAAATGTTTATATTTATTATTTATTATTAACATATTTTAATATATTTTTTAATTTAATACTTTTGTTTCAATTTTTTATATTTTATATTTAATTTATAATTTGCATTTCATTATTTTTTTCTACATAAAGGACATTTTGAATCTTTTATAAGCCATTTTTTTATACATTTTTAATGAAAAAAATGCATACAATTTAACTAAATTATAAATTCATTTTCTAATAACTAATCTAAGCATATTGAACAATCATTTTAATTTTATTAATCAAAAATCGACAAATCTTTTTTTACTAGCATTTTATTTTATTTATCTATTCCTTATTCATTCCCTAATGTCGTTCTTATTAAAAAATATTAATTTAATTTATATTAAATTAACTTTAATATGTTAATTAGCTCATAAAATTTCTATATTACTATAAAATTATATGAATTAACTATCTTTAATTCTGACTTGATTAATCTTATAAGTTAAACAAATTTTCCAATCTTTATAATTATATTAAGTGCCTTTATTAATTATTTCTTATTTAATTTAATAAACTTTATCTATTTACTAATTAAGATCTTATAAATCTTAAACGCTATTATTATATATTCGATTAATATTAATTTAAAGAATTATTATTCCTATAATCTAAACTTTATTATAGATTAAATATATAATTTATATGTTCTTATTCTGAATCCATATCTTATATATTTATATGAATATTTGTTTCTTAACTTTAACTTATAAAACTATATTTTTAATAATATTAAAATTTTTGATTTATTAATTTTTTTTTTTAATTTAAAAAATTAATTTTATAATAATTTTGTAAATATATTTTTTTTAATTATTATAAAAAAAATATATAATAAATGAATATAAAACCTAATTAAATATTTTATAAAAAAATATAGTGATTTCAATATCAAAATTGCCGTATTATAAGCCATTATTTCAAACAAAGATAAGTGATTCATATATACTCTAGATTAAAGTATGCAAAATAATAAAATATTAGATAATATATAAATAGATAGAGCACGTTTAATTTTATTTTAAAATATTTTCTTGATTAAATTTAATTGGGATGTTTTATTAATAAACTTATTTTAAAAAATATTATTCATTTAAAATATATAATATTATTAATCCTGAATATGTGATAATATGACTGTTTCTTGTCTACTTTAGATTGTTAAGTTATATTTTTTTAATATACTTTTATTAATATTAAATAAAATTTAATAATTTTAATAATTTTTATTTACATTGTTTAATTATTTATGATGGATAATCTTATTTATTATTAAAAGATTAATTATATATAATTGTTATATTAAAAAATCAATTATGAAATTTTTATTATAAAAAAAAATAATATAAAAATTATTTATACATTATAAGTATATTAGTTTATTTTAATAATAAAATCTAAAATCAAAAACAATGTAAAAATATAAAATAAGAAAAAAAAAAAAATTATTATATTTAAAAAAAATATATAAACTTAATAATTTACATAATAAATTTATAATTTGTATTTTCATAAATTAATTAATTATATATTCAAAGAAATTATTATTAATATTTATATTATTCTTATAGCCTTATAAATAAGATAAAAAAATTAATAAAGTAATTAATTTAAATAAATAAAATTATTGATATTATAAATTTATTTAGTAAAATAAAAAACTAATTTAAATGTGTTTTTATATTTAAATAATTTATTTATTAAATTAAATTAAATATATAAAACAAGATTAAAAATTATATAAAAAAAAAAATTAATATTTTTTTATAAACATATATTAGTATATATATAGCCTTTTATATATAAATTTATTATAATTTTATAAAATAGTAAACTATATTTATTCAATTTTAAATTATAAATATATTTAATAAAAATTATTTAATTTATAACTAAAAATATATACCTTAATTTAACTTTAAATGCATATAATATTTAAATATTAAATTATAAATTAAAAAAAAAAAAAATTTTAAAAAATTTAAAAATAAAATGAATGAAAATGTAAATTAAAAATTTTTTAATTTTGAAAAGACAATTTATATAAATATTTAATAATATTAAAAAAATTATAATAGAAACTTTAAATGATTTAAAAAATATAATTATTAGAATCGTAAATTTAAGAACATTAACAAAGAGATTAAAATAATAAAAAATTAAACGATTAATTAATATAAGCATTAGAATAATTAAAAACTTCAGATTAATCGATTTCTTAAAAAGATATTTTATATATAGAAGAAAAACATTAACGAGATTAAAAATAATTAAAATAAATATATGAAAAAAAATTAATAATTTTAGAATAAAATGTATTTTAATTTTTATTATATAAATAATAATATTTAGTTATATAATAAAGAATATTGAAAATAGTAATAAAGTGTTTTAATTAGAATAAGAAAATTTAATTTTATAAAATTAAATAATGGATTATAAAGAATTTATATAATAAAATAATAATGAATATTAGAATTTAAAAGATAATTATTTAAATCTTGAATAAAAATAGTATAAATAAAAAATTTACAAATAAATATAAATAATATTAAAATTAATAAGTATTTTATGTTAATAATAGAATAATCATTTATAAGAAAAAACAAAGAAATTAGAAAAACAAATTGAATAATATAAAATAAGTGAAGATAATAATATAAACTAGATTTAAAAAAATGAAATTAATTTAGAAAACTTAATTACTTTTCATAAAAATGTAATTTTTATTTATATTGATAAAAATAAATAAGTAATATTGATTTTTTTTTTTTTAATTATATTAAATAAAGGAATAATAATTATTACAGGCAAAAATAAATAATTTATAAAAAGAAAAAGACTTACTTTAATAATAAAATGAAAAGAATTCATAACTTTTCTAAAATATGAAAATACAATATGAATAAGAAGTATATTTTTTTAATAGTAAAATATATTTAATTTTTTTTATATTATTAATTATAAATACTTATATATATTTATTTATTTATTTTAAAAAAAAAAATCATTAAAAAGAACCAAATACTATTTCAAGAATAATAAACTTTAATTTAAAATCTTAATCAGTCTGAGCAAGAAAATAAAAAATTACAATATTTTAATCAATTGAGTTTATAAAATAAACAAAAAGTGGAATATAGAAAAGATATTTAATAAGAAGAAATATTTTAATTAAACTAAAAAATATTAATTATAGAATAATAAGCATAAGAGTAAGAATAAAAAATAAGAAACTACTAAATATAATTATAAATAAAAGAATAAGAAATAAAAGAATAGAAAAAAGAATATGAAAAAAATTTAGCAAATCAAAAAAAAATGCAAGAATAAATATAATAAAGTGCCAATAAAATAAAAAGTGAATATTTTTAAAAAAGTGCTTTTGTAATTCAAGAAATACTATCGAAAGAATAATAAATAAAGAAATTAAAATGTTAAAAAAGTAATTCAAAGTCAAATACTTAAAGATCTAATACTTTATCTATATAAAATACTTATAATAATACTCAATATAATAATAATATTAGTAGTAATAATTTATTTTTTGAAGATTCCTATTATAAAAAAAAGCTTTTAATTAATTAAAATGATAACCCTAATTATAAATTTGATGATTCATCTTAAAATAAACTATATATTCTTAGTTAAAGGTTAAAAGATTTGTATGATTTCTTATAAAATAAACTTGAGAATAATTTATAAAAATTAGATAAAGATGATTTGAATGTATTTTAAAATGAAATTAACAACTTATAGTTTTTAATGAATGATAAAGAATTTTCCCTTATTAAAAATTAAATTTAGAAAAATAATATTTTTAATATGATTTTTACTTTGGATTAGATATTAAAAAACAAAAATTAATAAAAATGATAAAGCAAAATGACTAAATATTTATATTATATAAAATATAGTAGTATATCATATAATTAAATAATTTTTATTTTTTTAAATAAATATTTATTTATTTATATTAAATTATTTAAATAAAAATAAAAAATCTTAAACATATATTTTTTAATAATATTAATTACTACTAATCATATAATTAAATAAAAAAAGATAAAAAATATATAAATTTTTTTTAAAAAAAAAAAATAAAAAAAAAAACTTATTTAACATTTAAAAATAATATATATATATAAAATAAAAATGTAAAATGCCCTTCCTGGAATAAGCATAACCTAACATGTTTAATTAAAATACGTATTTGGCATGAACCCAAACATAAAAAACTCTCTACTATTCCATGACGAAGAGCGAATAATTTACCCAGCCGGATATAACATAGTATTATACGACCTATAAGATAAATCATAACATTATTATTAAGGCACAAATGAATATAGGGGAATATCATGCGTATGTTTAAGTCCATTAAAGCGTTATTTAGCCTTAGGTGTAAAAGGTTAAGGTAATGAAAAACCTGGAATAATTTTATTTGATACCTTTACACAAAAAAGGCGTAAAAATTTAGGATTCGGATAAAGTCCTTAATTGGAATATTATAATATAAAGTAATGGATAAGTGTTGCTTTTCCAAATTAAAATCAAGAAACTAGATACATATATTCATTAAGTGGAGGAGGAGGAGATCATATATTATGCTGGTGGTGGCATGAAAAAGGGAGGTGTATAGGATATTACGATTTAGGTATTTAGAATGATATTTTTGATTTATAAATAGGTTCAATTGGGAATTTAGATACGAATTTAATAACTATTAGTGGAAATAAATTTTTCAAGTGTTATGTGAAAAGCGAGGAATAGTTGAAGGACGAAAAAAACACGAATTAAATTTAAGAATTGTAAATGTAAAAAAATATACTTAATTAAGTACCAGAACAGTATAAAAATAGATAATTTATTTAGCATTTATGGCTTAGTTGTGATAATTTGGTACTTTTAGTAAGTTTAACAGGAGAACTACTTATTTTTGATTCTATATTAAATTTTATTTAAGTTGTTGATAATTCAACTGAAAATTTAAATGTAGTTACTGCTTGTATATTTTCAAAAGGCTTCTTTGTAGCCTTTGAGGCAGGAATAGTGCTTTAATATAATATAATGTAAGGCGAGTAAGAGATATTTAATTGTGTATTACAATATAATGTGAAAAAAATTCTAGATTTGAAAGAAAAAACTGAAATTAAATGCATGTGTATAAATAAAGGGGAAGATAAACTAATTTTTAGTTTAAGTAATTGTCAAATTCATGAATTAAAACTTAAATAAAATATAGAATACGTAAAATAAATTCATTTAGTAGAAGATATTGATAATAATATGATTACATTGCCTTTTCATACTGGACCAATTATTTCAATGGATATTTGTAAAAGAAAACCAATAATTGCTACTTTAAGTACAGATAGATATATTAAAATTTGGGATTATGAAAAAAAAACTATTGACATATAATGGAGTTTTAATTAAGAAGTATCATGTTTGTCTTTGCATCCATAAGGATTCGGAGTAAATTATTAAATATTATATAAATAAAATATAAATATAAAAAAATATATTAGTATATATATAAATAAATAAATATATATATATATATATATATATATATATATATATATATATATTTTTGTTTTTATATATACATACTATATTTATATTTATTTTATATTTCCATATTTTTATAATTTTTTTTTTTCTTTTTATTTAGATTGTTGTGGCTTTTGCTGATAAATTAAAATTAATGAATTTGTGTATACATAATTCAACAAATAATTAAAAAAATAAAGCTTATAAAGAAATATCTCCTTTTAAGGGTTGTAAAGAAATTAAATTTTCAAATGGAGGTTAATATTTTGCTGCTGTAAATTCATCATCTTCTAATTAAATAATTTAAGTTTTTTAATTTTTTACTGGTGAAAATCCTGTAATAAAATTAAAAATAATTTTTTTTTATTTCATTTTTTATTTAAAAAAAAGTAACATCATATATTCAAAGGACATACAGGAAGAGTAAAATGCATTGCATGGTCAACAGATGATTCAATGTTAGTTTCTTGTGGAATGGATGGTATGATTTTAGCATGGAAAGTAGATTAAGATTTTTAAGCTTAATAGCCTACAGTACCTAGAATAGTTGATATTCACTGTAAAGGAGTTAATTTTTATGGGTAATATATATATATTTATATTATTATTATTTTTGAAATAAATTAAAAATAGAATTACTCTTAGTGAAGATAATAAAACTATTATAGCAGCCGGAAGTGATAAAAATATTCATTTAGTAAATATTGGAGATTATCCTCATGCAGACAAAACAGAGAAAAAAATGCTTGATGTAAATTTATCGTGTTTAGGTTTTCCTAGTTCTAATAAATTACTTTTTGCTGGAATTTAGGATGATACACGTTTATGTGGGGCTTTAAGATGTTTTATTTATCCTATTAGTCATGGCAAGTTTACTGATTATTAAGCACATGATGAACGAGGAGTAGAAAAAATTAGAATTACTAATGATGATAAATATATTATAACTGTAGGTAGAGATGGTTGTATGATGTTTTTTGAAATTAAAGAGAAAGATATTAGGTAGGCAAGAATGAAAGGTTTTTTGTTTATAAAAAAATAAATAATATTTATATATAAATATATATTAATTAGACGGATATGCAAAATTTTCTGAAGAAGTTCTTGTTTCAAGAGCTGATTTAGATGATTTAAAAAATATAAAAGATAATTTATAATTATAAATTACTGAGTTTTCGAATTAAAATGCAATGCTGGTTATTACTTCGAGATAGGAAGATATTTATATGTTAGATGAATAAATTAAATTAAATTAAATAAAAAGATAAAATTAAATAGAAAGTTTAAAAAAATAAAAAAATTAAGAAGAAGCTAAATTAATAAATGAATTAAATGAACTTTAAGAATTAGCAGAATTGGAAATATAAACAATGGATACTAAATATTAAAAAGTACAAAAATAAAATAATATAATTAAATATAAATAATTAAATAAAGGAAGTAATGTCTCTAGTTGAACAATATGAAAACTTTAAAAGGTTACACGAAATCGAAAACAATAAAAATAATAAAAAAAAATCTAAACTCGAATAAGAAAATAATTAAAAACTAATAGCTTTAGATAACGAATTTCAAAAATAATTAGAAGAATAGCGTACTTAAAAAAAACGAGTAGAAAAATAAATATAAGAACGCCAAAAGTAATATGCTGAAGTAATAAATTAAATCCAAAACGAAAAAGATATGGAAATAAAAAATCTTACTTTAAAAAATTTAAAAGACGAATAAATTATTACTGATTAAGGTTTAAAGGCTAAAAGTGAGATTTCAATAACTAACAAAAAAATAATGCAATAATAATAAGAATCACAAGATATAAAAGAGCAAAAGCTGGAATATGAAAGATAAAAAGACAAATTTAAAATCCAAAATATGGAATTAAGGGAAAAAATAGACGCTTAGAAAAAAATAATAGTTGAAAGAGATAGGACGATTTCAGAAAAGGAAAAAATTATCTATAATTAAAAAAAAAAGGCCTAAGATTTAGAGAAATTCAAATTTGTACTTGATCATAAAATAAAAGAGTTGAAAAGAGATATAGGTCCTAGGGAAGAGGAAATAGCCAAAATGAAAGAATAAACAAATATAATGGATGCAAAATTAAAAGAATTAAATACTTATAATAATTTCCTTGGAACTGTTGTGGATGAACTATATACAGCATAAGAAACAATGAAAGAAGAAATAAAAATTCAAAGATAGGTTATGTTTGAATAATAAATTAAAATTTCAAGATTTAAGGATGATATTTATGCATTGGCTTAATATATTTTGGACTTTAATAGGCTAAAGTAAGAAACATAAAGGCTTTTTGAAAAATATGTAAAGAAAGATATAAAGAAATAAAATGTAGAGGGAGAAATAATGTAGGAATATAGAAGTCAGAAAAAAAACTTGGAAAAACTAGTCTTTATGTTTAAAAAAAGTTTACAAAAAGATAATCAAATTCATAAAGAGGACAAAATAAGAATAATGAACGATAATGTTTAATTAATAAGAGAAATCAATAATTTAAGAAAAAGTATTAAAGAAAATATGAAAGGATCTTAAAGTCCTCCTGATAATAAATTTATGGGAGCAAGTCATTCAATATTACCAACTATTTAAGGAAGTAGTAAATCTGTTTTATTTGATGGGAAAGAAAATATATAAAATAATCCTGATTTACTTATATAAAAATAAAAAGTACTCACTGGATTAATGTAAGATTGTTAGGAATTACAAAAAATTTATGAAGTTCTTAATATTGAGTAATAGAATTTACTGAGAAATAATAATTGATTTCTTTTTTTCTTTTTTTCTTTTTTATTATTAAAAAATATAATACTTCTTTTTTAATAAAAATAATTATATTTTTTAAATTAAATATATGAATATTAAAATAAATTCATAAATAAATAAAAAACCTTTTATATTTCATTAACAAGTAATTTTAGTAAATAATTAATTAAAAATAAAATTCTATGTTAACCTTTTGATAAACATCAACTCTAATTCCTAATAATTTTCTATTTATACATCTTAACCATCCTAAGATATATTATCTAAAAACGAGCTGTTTTCCAAAGTAAATTTTTATTATTATTTACTTCTTAATAATTTAATATATATCTTACTCTTGAGTATAAAATACTAATCAAAAAGCCTACAACAGACTCTGCTAATTATACTATAATATCCAGAGAAAAATCAAAACTATTAATAAGCAAATAAAAAAGTTACAAAAAACAAATTGAAAATAATTTAATTTCAAAAAATAGAGTTTATTTGGTTTTAAAAAGTATATCAAAATTTTTATTTTTTTAATATATACTTCATCCAAAAATTACGGCATGTACTAAATACGAAATAAACAAACTATTTTTATTACTAATTTTTTTTATTTATTTTTTTCTTTCATACAATTATTATATACGTGTATTTTTTATATATATTTAGATAGTATTTTTAAATTCATTTGATTTTTGTATCATTTGGCAATAAATAATTTAAAAAAAATATGGATAATTTATTTTTTAATCATTAAGCTCTTTATATTTTATATAAACTTTATTTTTAAAACATGTTTTTATTATTATTTTTATAAAAAATCAATATTTATTTCAAAATATATTTAAAATTTCTAATATATATTTTTTAAATAATAAATTAAAACAATACTAAATACATTTATTTAATGATTATATTAAATCCAAAAAAAAGTAATATATATATGTACATGATTATAGAGTATATATTTATTAACTTTTTATAATTTTGGTATAAAATATATTGAATTATATTTATTCTATTAAAATTTCATATTATATATTTATATATTATATAAATAGATAAAATAATTATAGAATAAAAATATTATAAATAGATTTCAATTTTTTTTGATATATTAAAAAAATAAGTTAATAATTTTGTATTTTAATTTATTTTTTACAACGAATAAATAAACAATTATAAAACTTTACTTAATTTACAAATTTATATAAAAAAAAAAAATGATAAACAGAAAATCAGATTGTAAATAAAAAAACTCTTAAATATTTATCTAATTAAAATAAATAAAAATACAGTTTATTTAGATTAAGATAACTGTTAAATAGCCTGCAAAATAAAACCTCATATACCTTTAAATTAACTATATTAATAAGACATTCAAATAAATGTCGCAAGTTCAACTTCATGCAAAAGTAAATATGTATTATTTTCTAAATATGGAATAAATTATTAACTATGTGATAATAAATTTAAAACTGACAATGATTTATAATAAGTTTTAAATCAAATAGACCAAAATAAACCTGATGTTTATTAATATGACGAAGTTTTTAATATTTAAATGAAGTAAATTTTAATTAATTAATATTTATAAATTTTAAATATTATTATTTATATTTTTTATTTTTAGTCAAAGCCTTATTTTTCATTAATATTTTTCAAATTCAATAAATTAACTTATTAATGGATAAAATACAGCTTTTTTAATACATGGTCCATCAAAGTAATTTTTTATATATTTTAATTTATTATTTTAAAATAATCATTAATTATTTAATATTTAAAAAAACTATAATTTTATAGTTGCGGAAAGAGTTATATATTTAGTGGTGAATAAGAACGTGATGATAAAGGAATTATTTACTAAGGTTGTCAAAAAATACTATAAGAAATACCTGAATAAGAAATTCTACTTTAAATATGTTCAATTTATCAAAATTAGATATTCGATTTACTATCAACTCATAAACCAGCTACTAATTTTTAACAATTTGTAAAAAATAAATATATGGACTTTTGTTATTTATAAATAAATAGATAAAATCTCCTGAATAAGCTTTAACTTCCAAAAAAATATAATAATTTTCCGATTTTAAATATTCTTTTTAATTTTCAATTTAAAATATGTTATTTTTAGATGAAAATTTATAAATAAATAATTTTTATGGAAAATCTCATATAATTGTGAACTTTATTTTGAAATAAAATTAATAAAAAGAACTATATTTATAAATAGTAAGACTAAGTGATATTGACGAAAATATAAATTAAATAGATTTCTAAGTATTGAAAGATAAAATTATGAAAATAAAAAAAGGAAATTATAATAAAGAAAATAAGTATTTAAAAGAATATGAAAGTTCTTTATTATTAACCTTAAAAAATACTTTAAATGAAAATTCGATTATTAAATTTCTTTCTTGTGTTTCGACTAAATCATAAAATTTAGATTTAACTTAAGAAACTTTGGATGTAAAAATAAAATATTTTAATTTATTTTTTCTATAAAAAAAAAATAGTATTTAAATTTAAATGATATATAATAATTATTGAATAGTTATTATATTAATAAAACAGTAATACATAATAAAAATATAAGTGAAAATACTTTTAATATTAAAAATAAAGAAAAATATGACTAAGATACACTTTTAATGCAATAAATTAGCAAAAATAAAAGCTTATAATAATTAATTTCTTAAAAAAATTAAATTATAGATTAATATGATAAAGAAATGAAAGAATTTTAAGTTGATTTAATTTTAAATAAAGAAAAATATAAAAATTTCGAATAACAAAGTTTTTATTAAAATTCGAATTTCCAATTGAAATAAAAATATGAATTTAAAAAAAATCAAATAAAAAGTTTAAAGTATATTTTATTTTTTTATTAATATTTTTGTTTAAAAAATAAAATAAAAAAAATAGATAAATAATTAATGAATAATAAAAAGAAATTTAAAAATTTAAAAATTTAAATAATGATTCCTAATTATTAATTTAATAAAATAAATTAGAAATATAAGATTAAAATGATTATATAAATTAAATAACAGAACTAATAAATTAAAAATAAGAATAATGTGCAATTTTATAATCAGAATATGAATAATACCGATAATCATAATAAGAAAAAGATGATAAATTAATTTAATAATTTGAAAAAGATTAAAAATAATAAGAAGCTTTATTCGTAAAAAGACTAAAAGAATAAAAAAGTAAAAGTAAGTAATCAGTAAAAAAAAGAAGGAATTAATTAAATAAAAAGATTAAAAATTAGAATTATAAAAAATTTAAATCTTTGAATTAGAAAACGAAAAAATTCATTTATAAGAAAATTTAAATCAATTAAAAGAATTTGTGTAAAAATAAAATGAATAAATAGATAATTTAGAAAATAATTCATTAAATATGAATGAATAATTAATTTAAGCTTAATAAAAATTGAATATTTTATAAGAAAAATATGTCATATGTGAATAAAATAATTCTTAAGATCAAAAGTTAATTGATAATTTACAAAATTATAATGAAACTTTAAATATAGAAAATTAATAATTAAAAGAGAAATATAATGAATAATTTAGTTCTATATAATAAAGAATAGATTAATTAGATTAGTTATTATAAGAAATCTAAACTTAAAAATGCATTAATAAAGAATTTAAATTACAATAGGATTTTTTAAAAAAAGAAAATCTTTAAAAAGATAAAAATGTTTAAAAATATAAAGAAAAAGCTAAAAAATATAAAAGAGAAAATATTGTTTTAAATGAAAATTTATAATATCTTACTTCTTAAATTAAAAGTCTTGAAAATAAATTAAACGAATGCAACAAAAACAATTTAGATGTTTCTAATAATTTTAAAAATTTAAAAAATTAATAAGAAAATAAATTAAAAGTAAATTAATTAATAAAAAAATAATAGTATTTTTTATAATAGAAATTTTTATAATAAATAGGTTATTGATCATATTAATGATTTAATTAATAATCATAAAATAAATAAGCTTAAATAATAAATAGATAGATGAAAATAAAATATTAACTAAAAATAAAATTTTATATATCTATATTAATATAAAAAATTATAATTTTTATAAATATATTAATATTTTTATTTGAATAAATAACATATAAAATTAAAATATTAAACTTTTATATACTAATTTTTAATTATCCCCAACAACAAAAATCATTAGTTTTTTTATATTTTATTTATAGATGACAAAATTTATGAATAAATTTCTGTATTACATTCTTTAAATTAAGAAAAAATTTATTTTTCCTTCTCATTATTTAAAACTCTTTTAGATTTTTAACAAATAAGCAAACCATCGCTCCCATCTTCTATTTACTCATTTTTAGTAAAAATTTATTGTCTTTTATTTTTACTAAAAAAAATATTATAATCTTCAAGCATAACTGTAGTAATTTATATACAAGTAGGATTCATAACTAACTCATCTAAAGCATATTTAATATTCTCAGTTAATTATTATCCTCGAATTAAACTTGGAGCGAAAATTCGACATAGAGCATTTGCTTTCATTAAATTAAAATCATTATATTATTATATTATAATCAAAAACCGAATTAAATACTTTAAAACATTATAATTCAAAATAGGAATTTCTTCTATTATTTCTTATAGTTTTTTTTTAAATTCATATTAGTCCTAAATTACCGAGAATTTCTTTATTTTTTCATATTATTTAAATGGAAATATTGGTTCAGGTAATTAAATAAAAAATCTTTTTATACAAGCTAATAATATTATTTTTATTTAAAAAAAAAAAATGTATTAAATAATAATTTTAGTAATTTTTTTTTTAAATATATATATATATATATATATCAATATTTTTTTTTTAAATCAATAAAAAAAAATATAATCTTTCATATATACATTTTTTGATATTTTACATGCCACAATATGTGGATCTTCGACTCTATTTAAATATTCATAATTTTTATCAATTAATTCTTTTTCAACTAATTTTATACCAGATTCAGTAGCACATTTTCTAAAAATACCTTATTCTTAAATAAATTAAGCATTGTTTTCGAAATAACTAAATAAATGAACTACAATTACTGGAATCATTAACTCTTAATCTAACTCTAAGTCCTCTAAACTCTTTCCAAAAAGAATTTTTTTTTCCATATTTTCTGATTTATCGTGATTTTAAGAAGTCTTTATAGGATCATTATAATTATTATAGTCTTTTACGTATTTTGATATTTTATTAATCAAAGATTAATTCATAAAATCTAACTTTATTAGTCTTTTTAATCTATATTATATGACATTATTTTTTATAAATTTATAAAAAAATAAAATGTATATATATTATAATTATCCAACGATTTTAAATAAAGAATTTTTTCTTTTGATACAGTTTATTATTTAAACATGTTATAAGACTTTACTAAAATTGAAGGATTAACTATATATATGTTTTTTAAATTCTAATAATATTTATTTGGTAAATTATTATAAAATGAATAAAATTATTAAATATGCGAATAACTAATTAATCCAGTATTAAAATAAATTATATAATAAGGTCTATTATTTATTAATAGTATAAATTTTATTTTATTTTTATAATATAAGTCTATTTTTTATTTACATTTCAACTAAGCCATCCATAATATAGCAAAAATATGATTTCTACTTTTCGATTTCTTTTATTATTGAACTTTAGTATTTTCCATATATGTATATTATATTCGTTTCTTTAGATTTTCCTTATATAATATTTTTTATTTATTATTCATTAATTTATATTGTTTAAAAATATATATGATTTTTATTTTTTTATATTTCACTAATAAATTTTGTTTTGTAATCGGTTAATAGTGTTTATAAAAGAAAATTACTTTACCAGCATACACTATGAATTCTATAAATTATTAAGGATTCAGATATTATCCTATTTAAAAATTCTCATTATATTCTTTTTAATATTCATTGATATTATTTTTAGATTCCATTAAAAATTATAAATAATCCGATAAGAAGAAATGTTCACTATTAATTTATATTTATTATATATATTATAATTAATTATTTAAAATTATAGGTAAAAATTAAAAATAAAATTATTTATAAATTTTAATAGAGTATAATAATTATTAAACGCTCAGAGAATAATAAAACATTAATATATATATTAATATTTTATTTAATAAAAAATTAAATTAATTGTATTTAATTTATTGCTTATAGATAAAGTTAATTAAAATATCATAAAAATATTTAAAAATAATTAAATAAAATATAATATTAAATCTTTTTAAAATAATTATAATTATTAATATTCAATAAATATTTTTTTCTTTTTTATTTTTTTCCAAAAATATATTTATTTTAATTTTAAATAATATTAAAA